TTAACGTTGGTAGTGTTATCTGTATTCAGATGTGTTTTCACTGATTAAAAAATGAACTTTTAAAAAAAAGATCTACGCAGTCAACACAGTTGAATTTTATTGCATAGTCAGAAAAATGACTTCTTCCCCTGTTGCTTTGCTCTATCAAGAATGATCTGTGTACCAGTGTCATTTCATCTCACCAAGAAGATAGTTAGAAATGCAGAAGAATCTCATTCCCCACTTTGGGCCTTGAATGAAAAAGTGGATTTTATTTTAAGGTCTCAGGTGATTGGTATAACAGTAATGTCTGAGGCGTTTTAGGTGATTATGGGAGTAATATAGATAGATTGACACAGTGACTGCAGTGTGTCAGAGATTTTGAGGATGGCACAGGATAGGTCAGGGTGTAGGAGGCATGTAGTACCACCAGCAGCATAGTAGATGAAGGAGCACTGTGACATGTGCATTACTTCCTTGGCTGATACTAAAAGTTTGGTGGTTCAAATCCACCAGCTGCTCTGCAAGAGTAAGATGAGTAGTGCACTCCTATTATCACCTCAGAAAGCCCTACTTTGAATTCCTCACTGTGAGTCGCAGTTGACCAGATGGCAGTGGGTTGGGTTTGTTTGAGAGTAGTAGTTGTAGTTGGATGCTGTCAAGACAGCCCCAACTCCTAACAGAGTATATGACAGAGTGTAGCTGCTTCGTAGGTTTTCTTGGCTGTGATCTTTATGGAACAGATTGCCAGGTCTGTTTTAAGTGACTGAGTTCAAACAGCAAGCTTTGTAGTTAGAAGCAAAAATGGAGTCTTTTTCCAGATAGAGTACTCTCCCAGTAAGGTTACTTCTGTTTATTTTGAAATTGTAGTGTAGCATATATCTCTCATGTGCTAGTCATTTAGATATCAGGTATTCAATAATTTTGAAATAATGATATCTAGAAAACAAAACTTGATGATTTTGGTACTTTAACATTCTATTGCATATTGAGTATCAGAATTCTGTAAGTAAGCAAGACAATCTTTAGACTTAAAAATTTAGTTTCTGTTCTTTTTTTCTAAAGGTGCATCTCCCAGATAGAGTTTATAGTAAAGACTGTATGTATTTGATCTCTTTATGCAGAGAATGGATGAGGAATGGAAGACTTCAAAATAGTCCTACCATTGTTCGTGTGTTTGATTTTTTTTTTAAAAGTGCATTTTCTAATAAAGTAGTCGGTAACTTCTATTAAGAAGACAGAACATTTTAAAATGTAAGAGTAGTGAGAAGAAAAAGGCAAATTCTTTTTTCTTTAAGTTTATAAAAAGTATTTAAATAGACCTAATACTCCATAGCAATCTGCCCTAAACCACATTTTGTTTATCCATTCATCACTTGATAAACATTTCGTTACTCTTATGTAATTATTGTGATTAAAAATTCATGATAATCTTCACGATAAAACGTTAGTGAACATGGGTATACAGGTATCAGTTTGGGCTTTTATTTTTTAATTCTTCTGTGTATGTACTGAAATTGATGCATCATATTGTAGTTCTAAAGAGTGTAGAGTTTGAAGGCTCTTTTTAGTCTAACAAGTTAACACTTCTAACTCAAAGGTTTTGTGTTTCTGGTGGTTTTAACTCATTGTGGCTCCTGGAAGAAAGATTGACAGTCCCTTCCCATTACAGTTTATGGCCTTGGACCAGCCAGGTTGAAGGTTTCTATGAGCTTGAATCAACTGGGCATTATGAATTTGTAGTAGTTCTGTGTTTAACTCTTTGAGGAACTACCAAATTGTTTTCCATAGTGATTACACCATTTTACATTGTCACCAACAATGGATGAGTGTTTTGATTTCCCAGCGTTTTCACAAGCACTTGTTATTTTTTTCTTCTGCTGCTTCTGACAAACCTTTGTAATACTCTTAAAAGACTGGATGTGTTCACTCACCTAGCAATTCCACGGGAGAGATGACAGTGTGGTTCAGTTCTCCCCTTTAGAGGGGGCTACAGTGAGTTGAAATTGACTCCTTAGCATCTGCCAATATTAACAATGAGTGGGAAGTATTATCCGCCTATGGTTTCGACTTAGAGTTCTTGGATGATTAAAGAAGGAGCCCTGGTAGCATAGAGTGTTGCATTTAACCAAAAGCTTAAGAGTGGTTTGATTTCACTAGTGACTCCACCGGAGAAGCATGAACAGTGTCCTCCAGTAAAGATTTTTGGCATTCTGGTGGAAGGTTGCTCCAAATTGGACTCAGTGACAGTTGAGTTTGGGTTTGAATTTTGAATGATTGATAACATTAAACATTTTTTTCATGTGTTTTGTGTCTATTTGTGTATCTTCAGATGCATCTGTTCAAATCTGTCCATTCCTCCCCCCTCATTTTTTACTATTTTAATGAATGTTTTCCATTCAAATATTCTTACAAATTTATGGCATTGATAACAGTACTCAAAATATAACCACATTCTTAACACTTCCTCTCTGTGATATTTTTATTATGATTTGAATGAAAGTTTACAAGGAAATTGGATTTTCATTCATACAAATTTCTCTCTTCCCCCTTCATAATGCTTGTTCTACTTTATTAATTGCATTACACATATTTGATTGTCTACTCTTTTCAGATTGACCTACCTTTCTGGATTGATTCAGTTGGAATCCAGTTGAATAGGTCAACTGAATTGACTTATTCTAATGCACAGTCTTCATTCTTGTTATCCATTCTTTTCCTGTTCTCCTGCACCCCAATCCCATATAACCCTCTTATTTGTGACTGAGTTATTTTACTCAGCATACTGTCCTCTAGACCCATGTTTGTTGTCAGTTCATGAGTTCTTAATTTTCTCACCCCCCCCCCCATTGTGTGAATGTTCTGGTTTCTTTATCTATTCATTTGTTGATGAATACTTGAACTGGGTCCATCTCTTTGCTGTTGTGACTAATGCAACAGTAAACATGAGTTCATATACATGTTTGTGTTGTGTCTGAACATCCCTGATTTCTTCAGGGAAGCACCAGAGTGCTTTCCATAGTGATTGTGCCATTTTACACTCCCACCAGCGGTACATGAGAGTTCAAATATTTTTGTAGCCTCACCACCATTTATTGTTTTGATTCTTTTGAACTTTGCCATTGTTGCTAAGGTGAGAGAGTATTTCATTGTTTGAATGTGGATTTCTCTAATTGCTAGTGATAGTGATTTCTTCATGTGTGTTTTAGCCATTTGAATATCCCCTTTGGTGAAGACTCTCTTCGTGGGATTCGTATTTTTTTATTATTATTTTTGTGTGAGTGTACCGTCAAATCAGATCTGACTGGTACAGGAGGAAATTGTCCCTCCTTTCCTGGCAGAGCATCTGGTGGATTCGAACTGTGAGCCTCTGGGATTGTAGTTGCAGCTCCTTGCCACTAGGCCACCAGAGCTCCCCTGGGATTCGTATTTCTATTTTGATTTTATGTGGTTAATTATTCTAAGCGATTAGCTTTCTGGTGTTATACCTTTCTGTTGTTTGATTGAAAGCTAAATCATAGGCACGAGTTTTATTCGAGGTTTGAAGGGTAACTAACACCTGTAGTTTCTGAGATTTCACCAGTCTCTCAACCTGTTAACCTGGCTGCTGTGCTTTTTTCCCTCCATAGTAAAACTGCTCTGTCTGGAATCTTCTGCTGTGATCCCTTTTAGCATGAGCAGCAGTGCGTTTATACCCTTTTAAAATTGGGTTGCTTGTAACCAGAGTAATTTTATGATTTTAGTTTTTATATTAATCCATTTTGAGTTAATTTTTATCATATATTTGAAGTTTTGGTCCACTGCCACTTTTTTGCATCTGGAGTAGGTTCCTGTTAGTTTTAAGATGTAATAAACAGTGGTTAGTGTTGGGAATATCATGAGTGTCATTGTTTGATAAGAATTGTCCATGAATGATTGCAGTTTGGGCCTAGAGTAGGGAAAATTTTTGGCAAATACTGACAGATTTAAAAATGGAAGTAATTGAAGAAAAATGATTTTACTTATTTAAGTGATATTAGTAACCAGTGAGAATGAAGTTGAAAAAGGTGAATTTTGATGTCAAGACTCTGGAAAGTGGGAGTGAGGGGCAAGGCAACACATTTTGATCATTTACTTGGGCTGAGGTCTAGGAAAAGAAATAGATGAGGAATAACTTAAAATCTTGAGCCATGTTACTGCGAAGAATATTATGCCATCTGAGTGCAAGATGGGTTATTTGCTAATAAACTAATACGATTCTACTATTTATTATGATGTTGACATTGGTTGTAGTCTGGTCTTTTTAAACTTCTTCGTTACCTTTGATTGGTTTTACTATGTTTGTTTTCTCAGAAATATAACCAGTTATCAGTGTATAAGATTTTATATATCAACTATGAGAAGGTATTTGAAGTATTTCTACCTTTAAATTTACTTTCAGTGTTTGTAGTCCCTTCCCTCTCATTGGAGTTATTTTAGTATAGTAGGGAAATACCCAGGGTATTTTTTTGTTGTGTGTGCTGTCCAGCCCTAAACTCTGCCCTATCCTGTGCCAGTCTCACTCTCTCTGACACACCTACCCCCATTACCCTAGTCACTGAATCAGTCTACCTCATAGAGGGTCTTCCTCTCCTACACTGTCTCTCTACCCTCCCAAGCATGACATGCCTCTCGAAGGACTGGTCCCTCCTTGCAACATGCCCAAAGTATGTCAGACAAAGCTTCAGAATCCTTTCCTCCAAGGAGCAGCCTGGCTTCACCCTATCCAGGACAAACCTGTTTGCTCTACTAGCAGTCCATGGTATAGTCAATACTCTTCTCCAGCACCACAGCTCAAAGGCATCAATTCTCCTTCTGTCATCCCTAGTCATTGTCCAGCTCTCTGATGCATAACAAGTAATTGCAAAGACCATGGCATGATAGTTACATCTTAAATATAAACAGTTAAATATTTTGCTTTCTTCAAAATTTATTTGAAAATATTTCTTTGTTTTCTCACTCTTCCTTGCTTTTTCTTTTATATGTCTGGTTTCATTATGTAGGGAAGTATGGAAACATTGGAACTCCAGAAAGACGTAAAAGAAGAATCAGATGAAGAAGATGATGATGATGAAGAATCTGGGAGATTACGTTTCAAAACTGAAAGGAAGGAAGGAACAATTATTAGGCTTTCAGATGTAACGAGAGAGAGAAGAAACATTCCCGAAACTTTGGGTAAATTTTTTTGCCTCTCTCCCTTCTTCTTCACTTTAATGTCAGCTTGCTCGAAAGTATTTTTAGGGTTAACTAATTAGGTAAAAAGTTGACTTTATAGGTTATTGTGGTGTCATCCGGAGGCAGGTGGTCTGTGTATGGCTAGTGTCATGACAAGTTATTTAAAGTGGTTTGTTATTTTAGTAATTTTCTTTTTGTAGCCTGTAGAGCCCTCATACATATATTGTGTTTCCTAGATGACCTTGAGAAGGTAGCCTGGGACAGAAACTATCTTGCCACAGTACCCGAGGTTGCCAGTGCTAACACTTACCCAGATGAGTTTTGTAGCATTATACTTTTTTCCCTTTGGTCATTCTTCTCAGTGTTTGATTAAACAAGATGATTATTTGATAGAAATAACTAGATGAATATTATTCTGAGCAAACTCTACTTTTAAAGGTCTATATTAGGCTCTTACTAACAAAAGATCTCTGTAAATCTGGTTTTGGATAGAGCAGGGTTCAGAACTTTTATACATAGGGTCACTATGAGTGGCAAGAGACTTTACTGCACTTCACCACCACCATCACCACCTTCTCACTGAGTGAGGACCGGGATCATAGAGAGGAGTTTTAGAAAAGGTTCCTGGACTGAAAGTTTCCTAGGCTATGTCCATGGCTTTCTGATTCAGTGGGGCTAGGCTGGGACCCAAGAAATTTGCTATTCTAACATATTTTGTTGTTCGTGTTGATCTGGAGTTTATACTTTAAGAAATGCTAGGGTACTGTACTATAGGAAGACATGAGAAGGATCACATGGGGTTGTGCGTTCTCTTTGGACTTGGTCAGATACACAAATCAAGAAACAAGTTCTTTCTTTTTTAAAAAAAATGAGATTTTAATGAAAGTTTATAAAGAACTTGGGTTTCCAATTGTTCATTGTTGTACATTTTTCTCCCTGCCTCCAGATCGCTTTTTTCTTTGGGGAAAAATGTTCTTTCATTGTTATATAGTCCCCCATCCCCACCCCAGACCACTACTTACTTTATTCTGGACTCTTGGCGTGCCAGTAATACCTAATCATACATTCCTTTTATACAGTTCTCTCCCTTGTCCATTTCAATGCAATGCAGATTCTTTTTCCCCTTTTCCTTAGTTTTCCCCCAGCCCTCATGTGAGTCCCGTTTTATAACAGTGGCATTATGCAGTGTTTCTCCTTTTGTGACTGAGATACTTCACTCAGCATAATGTCCTCCAGGGTCACCCGTTTTGTATAATAGTAATAGTTGAAGAGTTCCTTGTTTTCCAGTGCAGCATAATGTTCCATTGTGTGAATGTACCATAGCTTCTTTATCCATTCATTTGTTGATGGGCACTTGGGTTGTTTCCAGCTCTTTGCTATAGTGAGCAAAGCTGCAATAAACATGGGTGTGCATATATCTGCTTGGGTGGCAATTCTGGTTTCTTTAGGAGGTTATATTCCCAGTAGTGGAATTGCTGAGTCAAATAGTATTTCTATTTCCAACTTTTTGAGGAAGCACCATACAGTCTTCCATAGTGGTTGCCCCATTTTACTGTCCCACCAACCCTTTTCCCATTACCCCAATCTCCGAATCTCTCCACCTCATCAAGGATCTTCCGCTCTTGAGCTGTTTCTCCACTCTACCAAACATGATGTCCCTCTCCAAGGACTGGTCCTATGGGAGGAGGAATAGATGATTCATTAGTTTTCTGCTTTGTTTATGTCTTTGATTACATAAACTGGGGGAACCCTGTAACTGTTGAAGAAACTGGAATCACTCAGAAACCTTTCCTTTATGTGGCTAACCACACTGTAAGGCCATTTTGCATTTCTAATTTTTCTTTTTCTCTGAGCCAGCATTTCTTGACCCTGATGGGTATTTCCCAGTGCCCACTTAACTCTCATCCTCATTGATAATCCATTTGTTCTGCAGGATCTTCCAGCTTTCTAGTTTCATAATTTTTGCTACTCTCATTCTTAAATCACTTTGGAAATCTTTCCCTCATTTTTGCCTTTCCAGGATTATTCATACTACCTTTTATCAGATACTTGAATCTCATCTCTCTTAGTTTCCCCCTACCGTCTTCTCTTTTCTTGCCCTTTGAAGGTACCAAGTGGCTTGATAGTCCTTTAGTCTTGAAACACTAGGTTGGATGGGTTTAGTGGTGGGGAAGCTCAGCCTTTGTAGTTTAGGAGAAAGGGTCCTTAAGTTAGAGCAGCTATAAAGATAAAAGTTTGATTGTTACCATTTTTTTAAAAAAGGTTAAATGTTTTTATGTAAAGTGACGTTGGCATTTGTAAATATAATTGAAATGGTACTTAAAATGTATTTGAAAACCCTGACTCGAGAAGCTTTAGTATTTAGAAATAACAATTTTCAGTAAACTAGAAGTTAATATTATATACAATAGGATTTTTCTCTTCATCAAAAGATTAAAGAACTTTCTTTTTTCATTAAAGCTCTCTCCCTTCCCCCACCAGAACAGAAGATTCATTTTGCATGTAAGGAATAATTTTTGGGTTTTTTGAAATTTTTTTTTTGAGAGTAGTTTCTACAATATTTTATAAACTCTAGGAATTTGCATAAAGTTTTCCTCATCAATTTGTGTGCCTATAATAAAATAGGAAATACCAGGCTTTGTATAGAAATAATGGCATTAATTTGATTGAATAAACTTGTTTACTTTTTGTAATAGGATTTAAATATTTTCAGAATATGTATGTATTCTTATCATTTGAGTTTTTTAGAAAATTTTTTTAGCTATCTTTCAACATTTTCAAGATTAAGAAATTATTTTGTGATGTCATTAATTAACATTGAGAATACTCCATTTATTAAAAGAACCACCAAATATGGCTCTACTTACTTCCATATCTGATCATTAAAATCTGTATGTGAAAAAATAAGTTCCTTTTAAAATTTTGAAAAGCCTGTTGGGGTCAGTTTACTATATTATTTATATTAAGATGAGTGCTATCATCCTTAAATATGAAGGACAGTAATTTGTAAATTTATGTTTTAAATTTATATTATGGTCCTTGTATTTCAAGAGATTTTTCCTTTCTTGATTTAGTCATCTTACAAAAAAAACTCCTTTCTTTTGCCAAAAAAATTGTGTATTTCATAAATACATAGTCATTATGTATTAATATATAATAATAATTGTTTACATGCAAATATAAGTCTTAATAGTTTAGAAGTGAACAATATAGTATGAATCTTTATAATATTGAGATATATATCTCTTTACTTTTAAACCTGGATGTAGTTCAGAAAACACTTAAAGTGGAATTAACATTTCAGTTGAAGTTACAAATGTAATTTCCATCCTGTCATATTTTGGTGACCTTCTGTGACAGCTTGTCTCAATTGGAGGAAAGCATTTTTACTTGCTGATTAAAGATGTCATTTGAAACCATTTTATTACTGAGGATCCTGAAATGAATCTTGACACTTAGAACCACTAGAAAAATAATTGCTGATTCACTGCATAAAATGTGTATGTGAACCAATCATGTAGTCAAGATTAGAATAAAAGTGTGTGCTTGTTAAAAGAGATCAAATTTTCTTAGGAATGCGTCCTAGAATCTTTTGAAAGGGAGAAGGGGATACCCTTGAAACAATTTCAACAAAATGAATTGTGGCTTTGAGGCTTTGGAAGAGCTTGGAGATGATTATGGAATCAAAGGTCTAAGATAGATTGTGGTAATATTTAAAATTTACCCTTCATTGTGGAAGGAAGCATAGGAATGAATATTTCTTCGTATTACTTAATGAAATCTTTTAAAAAGTATACACATCCCAGGCCCTGGTACAGCCATACTGGCCTCAACAGACCACAGGGCCTAGGGCTGCAGGCCTGGACTGTGCTGGCCTGGTGGTCACAGCTCGCCACTGGGAAGTCTCTCTGTGGAAGAGGTAGCCGCCTCCCTGGTGAGGGCATGCCTCAGCAGAAAGGCCTTGAAGAAGACGTGTGTGGTCATGGACCCAGGAACTCCTGTGCTCTGATCCCAGCATAAACAGCAGAAATGATCTTTACAAGGTTTTACATCTTGAATTTCTCTACAAGGAGAACAAGGCAAAAGAAAATCCTCTAAAAACAAACCTTGGACTCATTACCAGGTACTTTCTGGATCACGCTGGGAGCACAGGTAACAGTTTCCCTCAAGAAACACCCAGCCCTGGGCTCTCGGTTTCCATGAAAAACAAAACACCACAACCCAAAAACCCAGCAAATTGTCATTCGGATGCTCAGAGACCACACTTGTAACATATATAACCTTCAGATGAAGATGCTGGATGAAGAACATCCCTGCCTGAGACAAGCAGAGCCAGGCATGGCAATCTTGATGAGGATGTACTTGGGAATTTGGCACAGGACAGAGCGGAGTTTAGGGCTGTTGTACATAGGGTCGTTATGAGTCGCAGGCGACTCGACGGCACATAACAACAACAACAACTAAAAGGCACTCTCAAAAAAGTAAGCCCTGACAGACTGTCCTAGGTGAATTCCCCACCTTAGCTCCGGCGTAGGAGAAGAGGGGAAAGCTCAAATCCTCAGTCTCCTTGGGTATGAAGATGATGGGAGAGAAGAGCAGGCTAAAGTCTGGCCTGATTGTTGGAGGCATGATGCCTTGGCCTGTAGCCAGTCCCCTCTGAAGACTCTTCTTGCAGCAGTCCCCAGGCTTGAGTAGCACCACTCAGCCCCAAGAGGAAGAGAGTCGTAAAGTGCCAGAACTCTCCACTCCCGGCCTGCCCTGCCCCCCAGGAGATGTCCAGCACCAGCTTTGTTTCCGGGAGCTGCCTGGATCTGCTGAGAAAACATACCCTAGACAAGCAGGAAGCTTCTTCCAGCATACCCCACCTGCAGAGCAGAGGGCAGCCCCAGAGGGAGAGGGGTAGAAGGAGAGACATTTTTGAGGGCAGCCCAGTAGTGGATGTCTGCACAGAGACAAAACAGATACTCACAAATCACCACTTGCTTGGTGGGAATTCCAGGACAGTCCAGGAAAGGCTGGAAACCACATTAAAAAAATATCAGGGCAGCCATCCCCCACCCCCTCAGGTGAGCGTGCTGGGCAACATGATGGCTTTTCAAGAATTACCACCTGCCACACATGTGCAATTCCTAATGGCTTCTAACAAGCCTCACAGACTCTTGCAACGTGGTGAGATGTTGGGTTCATTTTTGCAGTTCTGATGGAGACGTTCCTGAATGCAGAGCTCTCATACCTACAACGTTGCAGGGGAAATTGTCTCTCCTCACTTCTTCTCAGAGTTGATGTAGGCTTCAGCGCAAGTCTCCACATAAACTCCTGCCGCAACTTGGCCTGGCTGAAGTAGTATCAGAGGGCTTACCTGTGAGCAGCCAGAGGGTGACAGGGACCAGGAGCTGAAAGATGACAGGTTCCTACAGGTTCCTTTTGGGAACTTTTACCCTCTCTTCTGGTCTTGACCCTATTACTCTTTTTGTCCTTTTACAATAAGCTTTGAGGAATCCTCCATTGATTGATTATTGAATATTATGCCATCCTTTCATAACATGAATAAAACCTACTTGGCTGTGATATATTTTTTATGCATTGTTAGAATCGACTTAGTTTGTATAAGCTTTGATGTAGAAGTTCATAAATGAGACTGGCACATTTCCTTTCTTGCAAAATCCTTATCAAATTCTGATATCTGGACTATGCTGGGAATGTTCTCTTTTTCTGTTCTCTTGAAGAATCTGTGTACGATTGATGTTAATTTCTTCTTAAATATTTCGTAAAAGTTGAATGACCTTCTATAAGCCTTGAGTTGGAAAGTTTCAATTTATCGATTCAATTAAAACAACTTAAAAAGTTCTGTTTCTTGTATTAGTTTTGGCAAGTGGTATTTTCCCAATAGACTTAGTAATTTTATATTTATTTCCAAATTTATCTGTATAAATTTTGTAATAACAGTACCCTCAAAAGTTAAGTTTGTAAGCTCTACAGTATTTTCTGTTTTAATTGATGATATTGATTATGCAAAGGCATTTGACTGTGTGGATCATAACAAACTGTGGTTGACTCTGAGAAGAATGGGAATCCCAGAACACTTGATTATGCTAATGCAAAACTTACTCTTGGACCAAGAGGCAGTCGTCAGAACAGAGCAAGGAAACACTGAATGGTTCAAAATTGGGAAGGGTGTATGCCAGGGATGTGTCCTGTCTCCATACCTTTTCAACCTGTATTCAGAACAGATCATCCGGGAGGCTGGGCTCTGTGAGGAGAAATGTGACATCAGGATTGGTGGAAGATCTATCAACAATCTGCATTATGCAGATGACATAATCCTGCTTGTTGAAACTGAGGAGGACCTGAAGCGCTTGCTGCAGAGGGTCAAGGACTGCAGCCTTCAATATGGATTGAGGCTCAATGTCAAGAAGACAAAGATTCTCACCACTGGGCCAATTGGTAGCATCAGGATGGATGGTGAAGAGATTGAGATTGTTATTCACAGCTTTGGCTTCCTTGGCTCCACAGTCAACACTCTTGGCACCAGCAGCCAGGAAATTAAAATACATATTGCAATGGCAAAGTCTGCTGTTAGGGACCTCTCTGAAGTACTCAAGAGTGACGGTGTGTCTCTAGAGACTAAGGTGCGTCTGGTACAAGCCATGGTCTTTGCAATCACTTGTTATGCGTCAGAGAGCTGGACAATGGCCAGGGAGGACCGAGGAGAATTGATGCTTTTGAGCTTTGGTGTTGGAGAAGAGTGCTGAGGGTGCCATGGACTGCCAAGTAAACAAACAGATTCATCCTGGAAAGGATTAAACCGGGCTGCTCCTTGGAGGCAAGGATTCTGAGACTTCGTCTGACATATTTTGGTCGTGTTGTAAGTAGAGACCGGTTCTTGGAGAAAGACATCATGCTTGGGAGGGTGGAGGGCAGGCGCAGGAGGGGAAGGCCCTCTGGGAGATAGATTGATTTGGTGACTGGGGCAATTGGGATGAGTGTGTCGGAGGCAGTGAGATTGGCACAGGACAGAGCAGAGTTTAGAGCTATTGTACATAGGGTCGCTATGAGTCGCAAGCGACTCGATGGCACATAACAACAACAGCAACAACATTGATAATTTGTGTTCTTGCTCTCTTTTGACCAATCTTAGAAGAGCTTCAGGTATATAATATTTTCAGAGAGCCAACTTTTGACTTTATATGTTCTCCATTTCACTGATTTCTATTATTTTCTTTACTTTTTTTTTTCAGTTTATTGACATGAATCTTAATGAATTGTCAGCTGCCTTTTTTAAATTTTTTTTTAATTATTATTTTTTGTGTGTGTACCATCAAATCGGATCTGACTGGTACAGGAGGAGATTGCCCTTCCTTCTCCAGCAGAGCATCTGGTGGATTCAAAACACGTACTTCTGGGAGTGCAGTGCACCTTCTTGCCACTAGGCCACCAGAGCTCCCTAGCTGCCTTCTTTTGTATTATATTTTAAGGCTAAAATTCTCTGAGCATCCAGCAAGTTAATATGTCATGTATTCATATCAATCAATTAAAAAGATTTTCTAAGTTCCTTTGTGATTTCTTTGAATCACGGGTTATTTAGTATGTACAGGTTAATGTTAAAACATTTGAGCATTTTTATTTTTTGATTGTTAGTTTAATTCCATTATTACTATATATACACACACTGTATAATTCAGTCTTTTGATATTTGTCAAAGCTTGATTTCTGGTTCAGTATATATTTGTATTTTATCTCTCATAAGCAGAGTGTATTTGCAATTTAATCCAGTCTGACAATTTTTATTGTAGTTGGAGTAATTATCCCACTTACATTTTCTGGTTTTGTTTTTGTTTGTTTGTTTTTTAATTATTTTTGTGTGTGTGTACTGTCAAATCAGATCTGACTGGTACAGGAGGAGATTGCCCCTCCTTCCCCGGCAGAGCATCTGGTGGATTCGAACCGTGAGCCTCTGGGATTGTAGTTGCAGCTCCTTGCCACTAGGCCACCAGAGCTCCCCATTTTCTGTTTTTTTGAAGAGCTGATGTCTTCTTTAGCAAATGCGCTACAGTAATATTTTCTGATTTTGGCTGCAAAAAAAATAAAAGTATACATGTAAGATATATTATCACAATTTAAATATTATTTTAATCTATAGCTATGGCCTATTTTTAGAATCTTTTTTACAAGTTTAGAATGTACCAGTGGAAAATTCCTTTGTTTTGTATCCTAAAGCATTCGACAGATTGGTAAGCACATCCTGAGTGGTCTATAAATGCTTGAATTCATCAGCTTTCTTACGTGTGACTTTGCTTTCAATTGAGTTAGACTCCATACAAGATTGCACATTTCTAAGAAAGAATCCTGTCTTCACAGAATAAAACTTTTCATAAATCAGAACATTTGAATATTTTTATTGTTTCAAGAAATAAATGATAGTTGACATCAGAGTGATTTCATCAGTAGTTTAGTTTTTAAATCAAAAGAGCCAGTAATTTGTGTTTTGATTCTTTATATACCACTACATACTATTAATACTTGTTTGACTGAGTGGTGGTAGTAAGATTGGATAGCAGCCATTATTTCATGAGTCCTTTAAGGATTCTTGGTTAAAGGATGGTTATAGTAATTTTAGGGGCAGTGATTAAATTTAACACTCCTTTTCCTCCCTTTAACTTCCTTCAGCATACTTCATTGGTTTTGAATGAAAATATCTTAACATTTATAGGTGATAACTTGTAGTTTATTTTAAAAGATTAACTTGTTTTTATTGAAGAGATAACACTAGTGGATAATGTGTATCATTGATTTTATATTTGCTATTGCTAGTTTCTTGTTTATAGAAAATACAGTACTTGCTCTTTATTACCATATATTTCTTTGCTGTTTTGTCCTGCAACTGCCTTTGAGCCTACTGGAAGGTATCTAATACATATGCATTTTTTTCCAATAGAACTTTCAGCAGAAGCCAAAGCCGCATTGCTTGAATTTGAAGAAAGAGAACGACAGCATAAACAGGGGCGTTATGGTTCAAGGCGAGGAGGGAGGCGAGGAGGCTCTCTAATGTGTCGAGGAATGGGAGACCAGAGACGGGACAACAGTGAGAGGGGACGGTTAAAAGACCACAGACCTGCCCTGCTTCCCACACAGCCTTCTGTAGTGGTAATTGTTAACGATTTTGTGATAGCCTTAAACTTTAGAAAACGAAAAAGTGCTTTGTGTTAGTTTTTTCTTAATTGAAAAGAAAACTTTAGTAATCTGAATAATACTTTATGATTTATAGTATGATTTAATACATAAGTCATACATTTAGTTCTGCAGTTATTTAGTAGTAAGAAATGATTCTGTATTGCAACATGTTTACAAATATACAGTAAATGATCCAGTGTCCCCAAGTGGCAAGAACAACCAAGGGGCTGGGTTTTACCTTTTAACTTTATGAAACTACTTGAGTATTTCAGCACTTAAAATACAGAATTTATAAGCCATATAGGCTAGGGAATGATTGTTTATCTTGTTTATACTGTTTAATATAGACTGTCCTTAAATAGTAATTTCTGTGAAATAAAATCTTTGATATAAACATTTTTTATATTACTCATGTATTTGTTTCAATTTAATGTGAATTTCCTCTATTTTAAAAAGTGAACATTTCAGACATAAAGACAGGCATTATGGGGTTTTTATTGTTGTTTCGTATTTAATTTTAAAATTCTTTTAGGTAGCATTAAGATTTTCCTTTATATGCCAGACTTTAAAGACAGGTTTGGGTAATAGTAGTATGTGATCACTATTTGTATTACATGTCAGTTTTAATATGCCAGTTTTTATTTGATTTTAGAGGAAAGACTACTCCTTTCTTCTGTGTAGAAATGGACTTGAGGAAGCATACACTGATGAAATAAAGTAGAAAATGCTATTATCTTAACTTGAGAACTCCAATTATGTTGTAAAAGAAAGAGGAGTTGTGAATTAATTATATCCTACAGGTTAACTATGTCATATCAGTATTGGCATTGAGAACAATTTGTTCGTAAATTTTTTTTGTTCTTCATGTCTCTAATATCAGAAAGTTTCAGCCTCCATTTTATTTTTCCCCTTGTCATCTCCCGCCGTCCTCACAGGTGTCTGTGTGTGGACTTGCCTTATTGACTAGCAGATTCATTTACTTTGGTCACCTAAGGGGACACAACCCCACAAAAGACCTTTTGGTTATAATTCTTTATGCTGTGACCTTGGAAAAGTCACCAAACACCCTGCTTTCTTATTCATAACAAGGAAGTATATGCCTCGTTCATCTCAGAGAGGCTACACTGAGGATATAGGTAAAATCATGAAAAAAGGTTTTAGAAGCCTTAGTTGACTGGAATCCTGAGGTATTCTAATGGAAGTGTGTTAAAAGGTAGCTGTGATGTAAGAATAAACCATATAGCTTAGCTGACAAGCCAAATGGAGCGTTGGACTTTAAGCTGTAGTCTAATCTTTACTAGTCAATGATGTTTAAAACTTGCCAATTTACTAACAAATCAAGGTTATTAGAGATAAACTTTATCTCACCCTCTGTTGCCTCCCCCCCTCAAATCACAGACGTTCTTTGATAACCTCACTACTAGCCCCAAAGCTGTTTTTAGCTCTTGACACTTCACCCCAAATTCTGAAAATTATATTCTTTACTCATGTATTTTCTGCTTCCTGTTTTCTTTTGGTTCCTTACTACCTAGATTTTATTCGTTGTAGAGTACTGAATTGAATGCTCAGAATTGCCACTTTTGTTACTTTTATTTCTGTTTGGTTATTGTCTGAGCTCTTTGATATCACTAACTATCCTATTTCTTGATCCCTAACTATTTGGGTGTTTGCTTGTTCGCTTGCTCTCTTCTTCTAAAACACATTACTCTCCAAAGAGATTGTCAGTATTTCTTTGCTATATGCTGCTGTTGTGGTTGTGTATTGTAGAGTTGGAACTGACCCAAAGCTGATTCTCCAGTGGGTTTTCTTGGAGGCAGTTAATTACGTGGAAGAAGATTGACTATCCTCCCATGGAATAGCCGGTGGCCTTGAATCGCCTTTGGGATTGCAGTACCACTTCTTGCCACTAGGCCACCAGAGCTCCCTCATTGTATATGTTGTTGTTGTTGTCTTTAATTGCCATCGATTCATTTGAGATTCATAGTGACTTTATGAACAGAATACCTAATGCTTTTCCATAACTATCGTCATTTCTCCAAGTTCATAGAGTTTCCAGAGGCGTGTTGTTTAGGAAGTGGATGCCACTCCTGCTTCGAAACCTGTTTTACAGCTCTACCATATTGGGAAACCATGCTGGTATTTGATACCTCAATGGTACAAGGTTCAGCATCACAGCAAACCCAGGTTACTCCATACAGCACATTGACAAAGAGTGATGTACAAAGTGGAAGAATGTTCCTCCAGATATAACAGCACTAGTTTCACTTAGCAGTGTGTTGACAAGTCGAATACGACTGAGAGTAAGTTTTGCACAAAAGACCTGAACTCTATTCTGTAACTAACATCATTTCTGTACATTTGTAGAATTTAGAGAGTTTGTAGAGTTTCCAGAGGCCTCTCATTTAGAAAGTGGATGCCACTCCTGCTTCCCAGCATAAATCAGTTTGGAAGCTCATCTGAACATTGTACATAATAGGTAACCATTATGATATTTGACAAGACTATGAGACCATGTGCAGTATCACAGCAACATCAAGTTGTTGAGTTCAGCAAAAAGATTGCTGTATCATTTAAGGAATATTCATTTAAAAAAATGAGTAAATTTGGCCAAAATCTTTGCTCACTTTGAATGTGTAATTTTCAGCCTCACCTTTCTTTACAACCTCCTTTAATATGGCTATTGCCTTATTAGCCTCCTTTCCCTGCCAGCTCTTGCCTCTGCGCTCCTCCCAGGGTATTCTGCTACTCTCTTGTCTTGAAGCGCTTTCATCCTTCCTTCAGAACCGGGTTTACCATCTCATCAAAGAAGCTGTCCCCATCTCCCTAGACAAATTATTCTCTTCCCTACGTCTTTCTAATAATTCTTGCTTTTCTTACATGGAATTTCATTAACAGTTACTTCTACACGCCTCCCTTTTGTCTCTGTCTGTCTGTCTCAGCTAGTTGCTCTGTAGGACAAGGAGGAGTGTTACGCATGAGGAAAGTTGAGAGCAACTTGGCTTTTGGATCTAGCACAGGACTTTGCTCATTTTGTTTGTTGAACTGGATTTCCCCCTCCCCTCCTTTTCAAAGTTTCTGTCAGTATTTGGGGATGACATTGCTTTTTTGAGTTTGTTGGTTTTGTGTTTTGTTTTTATACTTTTGAGATAGTAGTCCCCACTGTGAATATACAGAGCCGTTTGTATAAAGTGACGTTTATATGAATAGTGTAACCAGGAGTTTACATCTTAAAGAATAACTTCTAACATTTAACCATGTCAATCTGTAACATAATGGAATTTTTTCCATATTGACTTACAGGAATTTTCCTGTTTTTCCGTGTCTTCTAGACTCACTCTCCAAGATTAATCCCTCCTCCACAGCAGCAGGCTCCGCCTCCACCACCACCCCCTCCTCCCCAGCAGCAGCCAATTAGAAGCCTGTTCCAGCAGCAGCAGCTGCAGCCTCTGCTTCCCTTACAACATCCTCATCACCCTTCGTCTCCTCAAGGAATGCATATGCCTCCCCAAATAGAAACCCCAAGAATAATGCTCACCCCACCCCCAGTGACCCCACAGCAGCCAAAGAACATACATATAAATCCACATTTCAAAGGAACTGTAGTGACACCTGTCCAAGGTATGTTTGTTTTTCTTTCACTATTTTTAACGTAATGTTTATATTACTATGCATCCAAAGGATATTTAGCAGGCTTTTTCATGGGCAAAATAATGTTCACATTCAAATTTGTGTAGATAAATTAATCCTTTTCCTTGTCCACTTAGATGTGTTTTAGCTTGATTGACAAAATTCATTTGCTCAAAAGTTTCAATCATTGATTTTCTGATTTAGTGATAAGTGCAGAGAAATAATTTCAAAAGAACATACTAGAGGAATCTCTGGTGGCCTAGTGGCAAGAAGCTGCACTGCAATACCAGAGGTACATGGTTCAAATCCACCAGATGCTCTGGAGAAGGAGGGGCAATCTCCTCCTGTACGAGTCAGAGCCAGTTTGACTGTACACATAAAAAATAATAAAGATAAAATTCTTTTTTTAAAAAAAAAAGCAAAAAGAGCACTGCTGTACCTACTCATCAAAATAGAGTGTAATTCAAAAGAACATACTAGAGATAATTGATTTATATGTTGCTGTAGTTCATAATCTTAATGAAGATATATTTTCTTTATAAATACCTGTTGAAATATTATTCTGCACCCAGCATTTGAGATATATTGGTGAAAAAAACAGAACTTCCTGCGTGGACCTAGCATTCTAGCAGAAAATGATTGTCAATAAGTGATACATGTAGTAAGGTTTTTATGTGACTTGTTGGAAGAAGTAGGTGTGACTTGTTGGAAGAAGTAGGAAGAAGAGGAATGACACATGGAATATAGAGGAAACCAAGAGTGAATTACAAGCCAAATGAAAAGTATATCAAAGAGATGTGGGATTGATCTGCTGCTGCTATGTCAAGTAGAATATGAATCGTGCTGCCACAGAATTTACCACTTTGGAGTGCTTGTTCACCAGCCTCATATGTGCATGAAGTTGTGAAGGACAGGAAGTATGCACTGCCTGCATTTTATCCTCATAGACTAGCATAATGCTAGCTTTCAAAATACCTGTGGATTGGATGGGGGAAAAAATACATATACACATGTCTGCCTGAGTGTGAGCTTTTTGATGGCTGTCATCAAAATATTCATCAGCCTACTGTTATATAGAATTACTTACCTACATAAGGAGCTTTAGTAATTATAATTTGTCACACTAACAAAATACTAACATAGGTGCCTGTTATTTCCTTGGAAAATTAGAAGTTGGTAAAGCACAGAATTTTTTTAGCTTTTAAAAAAATGACACTAGTGGTAAAATTATAGTAAGCTACAATGATAAAGCTAGAAGAAAAACCCGAGAGGTATTCTTGGAAAATGATGTGCTAAGCCCAAAGTCAACTGTCTAGCAGGTATAGAATATATCTTAAAGTTCACGAATTGCTCAATAAATAGAAGAACTGGATTCTGACAGATGTTTTTAAGACTTTTACAATCAGTTAATTGTTCTTCAGTATATAATAGCTGGTGGTGGTGGTGGTTGTTGTTACGTGCCATCAAGTTGCCTGCGACTCATAGCGACCCTATGTACAACAGTCCTAAACCCTGCTCTGTCCTGTGCCAATCTCAGAAATACGGAACGCGTCACGAATTTACATGTCATAGAACACCTTTTATGCACCTTTATTGTCACACATTTTTATTTTACACATTCCTTTATTATTTTCTTGTATGCCATTGATTAGGATCTAACAGGCACAGGAGAAAGTTACTCCTCCATCCTGAAATACAATGTGGTGAGTGACAGGATAATATCCATACTCATACAAGGAAGTCCAGTGAATACCACTGTCGTTCAAATATATGCACTAACAACTAGAGCCAAAGAGGAGGAAATAGAAGATTTCTACCAACTTTTGCAGTCAGAAGTTGAGCAAACGTGCAATCAAGATGCATTGATAATAATGGGTGACTGGAACACAAAAGTTGGGAACAGAGAAGAAGATTCAGTAGCTGGAAAATATGGGCTTGGTGAGAGAATTGAGGCTGGAGATAGAATGATAGAGTTCTGCACATTCATTGCAATACCTTTTATAAGAAACATTGCAAATACCTTTTATAAGAAACATAAACGCAGGCTATACACGTGGATCTCACCTGATGGCATGCATGGGAATCAAATAGATTACATTTGTGGAGAGACTCGGTGGAGAAGTTCAATATCAGCAGTGAAAACCAGGCTGGGTGCTGATTGTGGGACAGACCACCAACTACTCATATGCATGTTAAAGCTGAAGTTGAAGAAAATTAAATCAAGTCCACGGGAACCAAAATTTGATCTTAAGTCTATTCCACTCGAATTTTAAAATCATCTCAGGAACAGATTTGAGGTCTTGAGCACCAGTGAGGGAAGACCAAATGAGCTCTGGGAGGATATCAAGAAAATAGTCCATGAAGAATGCAAAAGATCATTACAAAGGCTGAAAAAGAAGAAAAGACCAAGATGGATGTCAGATGAGACTCTAGATATTGCATTGGAGTGCCGAGAAGCCAAAGCTAAAGGAAGAAACCAGGAAATCAAAGAGCTGAACAGAAAATGTCAAAAGGCAGCTTGGGATGACAAAGCAAGATACTATAATGAAATGGGCAGAGAGCTGGAGTCAGAAAATCAAAAGGGCCGAACTCGCTCGGCGTTTCTAAGCTGAAGGAGCTGAAAAACAAATTCAAGCCATGGGTGGCAATACTCAAGGATACTTTGGGTAGAATGTTAAATGATCCAGGAAGTTTCAAGAGAAGATGGAAGGATACACAGAGTCGCTATATCAGAAGGAATTGGCTGACACAGAATAATTTCATGAAATGACATATGAGCAAGAGCCTATGGTGATGAAGGAGAAAGTTCAGATTGCTCTGAGGGAATTGGCAAAAAACAAGGCTCCAGGAGTTGACGGCATATCAAGTGACATATTTCAGCAAACAGACACTGGCCTGGACGTGCTTACTAAGTTGTGCCAAGAAATCTGGAGAACAGCCAGCTGGCTCACTGACTGGAAAAGATCTATATTTGTTCCCATTCCAAAGAAAGGGTGGCCCAACAGAGTGTGGAAATTATCGAACAATATCATTAATATCACATGCAAGCAAGATTCTGCTGAAAATTATCCAAAAATATTTAGAACAACATGCCAACAGAGAACTGCCAGACGTACAGGCTGGTTTTAGAAGAGGTCGTGGTACTAGGGATATTATAGCTAATGTTAGATGGATCTTGGCAGAAAGCAGAGAATATCAGAAGAATGTTTATCTGTGCTTCATTGACTATGCAAAGGCTTTTGATTATGTGGATCACAACAAGCTGTGGCGGACTCTGAGAAGAATGGGAATCCCAGAACATTTGATGGTGCTAATGCGAAACTTATGCTTGGACCAAGAGGTAGTTGTCACAACAGAGCTAGGAGACACTACATGGTCCAAAATCAAGAAGGGGGTTCGTCAGGGATGTATTTTGTCTCCATACCTTTTCAATTTGTATGAAGAAAAGATTATCCAAGACGCTGGGCTATACGAAGAGGAATGTGGCATCAGGTTTGGTGGAAGAATCATCAACAACCTGCGTTATGCAGATGACACAACCCTGCTTGCTGAAACTGAGGAGGACCTGAAGCACTTGGTGCAGAAGATTAAGGACTACAGCCTCCTATATGGACTGAATCTCAGCATCAAGAAAACAAAGATTCTCACCACTGGGCCAATTGGCGGCATCAGTATGGATGGTGAAGAGATTGAGATAGTTAGCAGTTCTAATTTACTTGGCTCCACAGTCAACACTCTTGGTAACAGTAGCCAGGAAATCAAGAGACAAATTGCATTGGGAAAGTCGGCTGCGAGGGACCTCTTAAGAGTACTGAAGAACAATGATGTCAGACTGAAGACTAAGGTGCACCTGATCCAGGCTATAATCTTCGCAATTACGTGCTGTGCATCCGAGAGTTGAACAGTGAATAGGGTTGATAGAGAATTGATGCATCTGAGCTGTGGTGCTGGAGAAGAGTATTGAATATACCCTGGACTGCTCGGAGAACAAACTGATTTTTCCTGGAGAGGGTGAAGCCAGAAGGCTCTTTGGAGTCAAGGATTCTGAAGCTTCATCTGACGTACTTTGGGCATGTTGCAAGGAGGCACTGGTCCTTGGAAAGGGACATCATGTTTGGCAGAGTGGAGGGGTGGCGAAGGAGAGGAAGACCTTCGATGCGATCGATCGATTCTGTGACTGGAGTGGTGGGAATAAGTGCGTTTGAGATGGCTAGGTTGGCACAGGATAGAAGAGCGTTTAGAGCTTTTGTATGTAGGTTCGCTATGAGTCGCAGGCGACTCGATGGCACATAACAACAACACCACAACCTTTGGGAATTCCATGCAGCTTCTTGCCACTAGGCCACCAGAGCTCCTTATTTTACTCATTTCTAATTAATGTACCTTTTATCTGCCATATGTTTCTTTCTGTTGATCTTTAAAACTACACAGATGAGAGCTGAAATTATCCTTGCTAGATACAGATGTTGAAGAATTTATAGTATAGTTAATTATTTAATACTAAATTAATGTGTCAAAGTAGAAACAATTTTTTTCTTGAGAGAGGCTAAATAGGAAGTGTTTCTTGTACATGTAGTACTGTATAGATTACATGTAGTACATTTTGGTAATCTAGAGATTAACCACTGACTTTCAGAGCCTTGAGATTCTTTGTTTACTAGGGATTATCTGAGAGGAAGGATTTGATACACTACAGTGAAGAAGGTAAAGGAAGACGAGAAGTTAGAAGGTAGAGAGAGAGATGAAGATTCAAAGAGAGTCAAACTGGCCTAGGTAGTGGTAGACAGAAATAGATAAAAGACAGATAAAGCAGGTAGGGACAGAGAGTATGGCAACATGAAGGGAGAGAGAAATATGTGTGGTCCTAAGACTCTTTCCCTTATTTTTACTGTCCTCAAAGTAAATAAATGTTTTATATACTTTTTACAGAGAGCTGTATTCTCTTATCTAATTGAAAAGCTGGGAGAATAGTTTATAGGGAGTTGTGCTGCTAGCCCAAAGGTCCCATTCCCTAGCGAATCGAATCTGCCAGCCGGTCCTTGGGGAAAGATAGACAATCTCCTTTCATACAGTAGCATCCTTGGAAACCTAGTGGAGGTTTAGTTCCAACTTGATGGCAATGAGGTAGAGCGAACAGGACAGCATTGCCAACACTGTTAGTCTCATAAAGGAAAAAATTGATTAATGTCAGTGATGTATGTTTGGGGAATTTGAGGCATTTTAATTTTTAAACTCATAAACTGGCCATTGGTGTTTTACTAGAGGCCTCAGGGCTGTAAAGGCCTGCCTGTGAGCCTTCTGCAGCATCCTTATTTCACTGACACTTTGCTAATGAGTCCTCTGGTTTCTGCTTTCGTGTTTTTTTTTTTAACATTTTTAATTGTTTTGCAAACCAGTAAATGTAAATGAACTAATTTACATTGTGCCATTAATGTATGTTATACTTTTTACAGTCCTTCATTTTCATTATGTGTCATTCATGTACATTGTGTTTTATGCATTCATATACATTGTGTTTTATATAATTAATTACTGTTGATCAATGTCTATTATCACCCTGTCTTTTCAAGTCCCCATTGAATCATCCCTATCCCCTCTCATCTACTCACTAAACTCTGCTATCCTAGTGATTTCCCTCCTTCCCCTTTGTCCACCTTCCCATCTCCTTCACCATTCAATCCCTTTTCAACATTTAACACGTCTTGCTCAGTTATTCTTCAGTTTTAACCGTAATGATCCTTGGCAGTATTTGTACCTATGAGACCAAGTTAGTGCACTCAGCATAGTCCTCTCTAGACTCTCCCACGTCATGTAGTATTTTACAATATTGTTCCTTAGCACTGCATAATATTCCATTGTTTGACTGTATTAGAGTTTCTCAATCCATTTGTTGATGGGTATTACTTCAGCTTCTTTGGACTAAAGGAAAACCTTGGTGTAGAGCAATCTTGTATACAGAAATCTTTGTGAGTGGTCCCCCACCCCACTTCTTTCTCTGGTAGTTACTGGAGAGGAAAATAGTCGGGAGACTCTATATAAGTATTGCTAGGAGAACAAACAGGTTTGTCCTGGAGAGAGTGAAATCCGGGTGCTCCTTTGAAGCAAGAATTCTTGGAAGCTTTGTCTGACATACTTTGGGCATGTTGCAAGGAGGGACCAGTCCTTGGAGAGGGACGTCATGATTGGGAGGGTGGAGGCACAGCGCAGGAGAGGAAGACCCTTGGGAGATGGATCAGTGCAGTGATTGGAGTAATGGGAGAAGGTGTGTCAGACAGTGAGGTTGGCATAGGGTAGAGCAGGCTGTAGGGCTCCTGTACTTAGGGTTGCTATGAGTTGCAAGTGACTTGACAGCACATAAGAATAACACCCCAAGTAAGATTATTTTAACCATTGAGACAAAACTCTCCCATTAGTGAGATTGTTGTGTGTGCAGAGAATCGTTCTTATTGTACTCATTAACTAGTTGATATTAAACAAAGAGTTACCAAGAGGACTTTACAGACTATTTTTAATATTGAAAATTGATGATGTAATGCTGTTTCTTTGCTATTTCATATGTGGAAATAATTAATACTGATAAAATTTTGGATAGAGCACCCTATAGCATGGTGGTTATGATGGATTTTAATAACAAGTAAACAGTTTTATTACTGCCAAGAAGAGTTGAGCAAAACTTTTGATACATTCATTAATATTTTTATTATATGTTCATGATCATACAGTTTTAAAAATAAAAATAAATCTGTTCTTGACAATTTGCTTTTAAAAAATTAACAAACACACATCTTTTTCTAGTGGCATATATTTTCTTTTTGAGAAAATAATATTTGAGTTATTTAAATACACAACCATCTTAACAAATTGAAAACTTAATCTCTTAGTTCATTAAATGAAAGTACTTAGGAAAACATTAGAATATGAATATTAAACATCAAATAATCAGGGTTCAAGGTTCATTGAGAATGGCCTTTTAAAAATTATTTTTAAAATACAATATATTATCTTCCTTTCAAAGATTGCAGTTAAGTCTCAAAGCTCATTACTGTCAAGTCAGAACTAACTCTTAGTTGACCAATCTGGATTTTCAGAGACTGTAAATTGCACAAGAGGAAATTGGCCATCTTTCTCCCTTGGAGCAGCTGCTGAATTTAAATCTTACTGTTTGCAAATCCAGTCATCTGATAGAGTTGCTATAGGACAGTTTGAAAGCTCCTTGGCAATATCACAAAAGCTTTTCCTTGCCACCTGTGCTGGGTTTTTACTGTTTCTGTTCTTACCACATTTTAAAAAAAAATAAATTTTTAAAAATACATTCTTATCTTTTGTGGTGTTACCATTGTTCTCTACAAAGTTTATCTTGAGTAAGCCAACAAAAGAACTGATACTTTATGGAAACTTGAGAAGAGTTGTGTAAGAAATCTGATAACTCTAACCAGATTTCTTCCCCTGAGAACCATCCTAGTTGCTTGCTTCCTGTCTTTCCAGTTAAAGAAACATAAAATTTTCATCCTTTAATGTATTAGAATTATTTTATAGTAATTGACATTCAGATTTGAAATTTAAAAGTAAATGATGTATATGATAACAGTTTTGAAGATATGAATATTTTACATTTAATAATTTAAAAGACAATATCTTTGTGTTGTTTATTATTTACGTTTTTTTTGTTGCCTTCATTCTAGTCTTTTTAATTTGAAAACATTGTAGTTTTTTCTGTTTACTTAATGAAAATATTTTAATTCTTTAATTTTAAGGTAATTTCAATTGATTCTCAAGCTGTATCATTGCTGTAACTCAAAATAACTGAAAGTTTCTAGAGTTGAAATTGTTGTGTTATACATTTATGGTATAATATGATAGTTTATTTATTATATAAAATACCTCTGTCTATCAGAAGATTTTAATGGAAGATATAATGTGCACTGTATTGTGATTCTCCCCCCAAAAGAATCAAGATGCATAAACTAAGTAAGTTTTAAGGAATTTCTATCTTTTAAGGAATGGTACCTAAAACTATTATCAAACCTCTCTGTTGTAAATATTGGTTTTAAAATTACTTCTTTGTTTTTTGAGTAGTTTCATAGATCTTTTCCTTATTAAAAAGCAAAACCAGACCAAATGAAAACAGAAACAAACTAAAATTCTTGGTGTTAGAAGAGTGTTTAATTTTTTTATAATTGTATGTGAGCATTTTCTCCAACATTGAAACTATGCAGATTTTCATTTCTCTACTTACCTCTTTTTTATTTTCTCCTTTCGTCTGTCTCTGATTCTAGCAGCTTATATTTGTGTTTAATTGGGGCACCTATTAGTGCTTCATAAACTTGATAAGGCTGTAAAAAACAAACTAGATATTTTACTCCAGAGAAATACCATTTTGCTTTGTTGCAAATACTATTTTTATTCTAAGTAGAATATAAACTTTTGATTGAGCTGCTATAAATAAGATATAAAATTTCTCCTTTCAGTTTCCTTTTTATGGATTGTTAAAAAATATTAGGGATTTTATGTTAAATGTAATATATTCCATTGTATAGTAGGTATCAGAATTAAGTGAAATAATATGTGTAATGAAAGGTGCATTTTCTTTTAGTGCCCTTGCTGCCAGTTCCAAGCCAGCCCAGACCTGCTGTAGGACCCCAGAGATTCCCAGTGAGTAGCAGCTGTTCCTTCTACAGTGATATGGATACGCATACATTTACAAAGAAATATTAATATCGCAAATACAAGTAGTTCCAACTAAACATAATTTTAAGGATTTGTAAATATTGACTATAATCTCTGCAGTAGAAAATGTTTGTTAAAAGCTTAAGGTCAATGGATTTTTGAGAGTGGAATTAATTTTGTTTAACTGTAAAATTGTTGAATCAGAATCATCAGTGGAATGCTTTTCATTTTAAAGAATATGGTTTTTCATTTTATTATTGCTTTCTTATGTTAGGTGCAAAAGGTCCTTTATTACAGGGTGTGTGTATGTATGTGTGTTTGTGCATGTGTGGGTCTATACATGAAATTCTAGGGAATCAAAATGAGCACACTACTTGTTTCTTAAACAGGGAAGTAGCGACAACCAAAAAAAAAAAACACCACCAAACCAGCAGAAAAGTTTTAGTAAACCATTTGTTTTCTGATTTTAAATTGGAGCATTTTGCTTTATAATATTTTTAAAAGAAAGTACACATGCTCTCTTCCCCTCCAGTCCATTCTCTCTTTATACACACTTCCACAGTCTCTCTCATTTCATTTTTGTAAAGTGTAAATAGATGGGCAATGGCATTTAAGCAGGGGTGTGGGATTTTTTGGTTTGCTTTATTTAAATTTGTGCTTGCATTAGTGGTTGGTTTGTAGTTTTATTAAATGAAGATGTATTCTGTTTTAAAAACACTATTGAAAAAATGGGCAAAATGATAAAATTCTAATGTCATTTGGGTTATATATCCCAATTTTTCAGGAATGCATAATTTGACTTTTTTGATACTTTTTCTCGTGTGTGTGTGTTTGTGAGCGTGTATTAGTAAAAAGTTTTTGTGACTTTTATATCAAGTTGTAGAATATGATTATTTGAAATAAAATTATAGATTTTTAAAGTAAGATGATTTTTAAATGCAGGTGATTTTAAGTAAAACTTGATGCATAGTTATTATTTCTGAATTTTGATATGATTTCTAAAATTGGTTCTTTTTGGTTTCGTTTCTCTATATTTAGCTATTGTTTTTGTAAAATTATTTATCAAGTTATTTTTAAAAACCTTAATGGCATTTATTGAGTTGCCATGTCTATTCAGAGCATTAATTTTATAAAGCTGAGGTTTATTGCTTGCATAATAATTGCATTATTCATAGAAGAATGTATGATTTTAGCCATTAGACACATTTCTTTTGGTGAAGTAGTATAAGTGCTAACCCTTGAAATACATTAACACTTTATGTACCCTTGACAGTTTCTTAGTATTATCTACATCTGTGTTAAAAATAGTTTTTTAAATTGTTCTCATGGGTGTTTTTTGTTATATGGATAAAGCTTGAAGTGGAGAAGGCAATTGTAGTTAAACCCACAGAAGTGTTTTTTGTCATTAATAATTTGTAAAAATTACTGATAAAAATTAGAATACTTACTTTCAGATCTCTACTTTTATCTGGTGCTAGAAGAATAATAATCAAGATATTTTAAGAAAATAATAAATGTTATGAGAAAATGCATTTTTCAAGTTACTTAGTATTGCATTGCTGACATACACTGCTGAAATATCTTTGGAAATATTTCTGTAAGGCACACTTTTTCTATTATTTTGACAGGGGAATTGAGTGTGCGTGATGAGGAAGAATTGAGCTAAAGATAGGCATGTATATAATTTACTTTGAGTAGTGTTCTCTCTAATTCCAGGACTTACTACTGTTTAACATGAATTTTATCTTTTGTTAAGCCCCAAATACTACATCTTAACTTGAAGTTACAGTAAACTTCTGGGTTTGAAAATGTCCTACTTATTTCTGTCATCTCCCTCAAGGAAAAGAATCAAACTTGGGATATATTTTTTAAAATGCATGTTAGAGAGGCTTATAGTTTGGCTAATTTTTTCTCTTTAAAGGCAGTCAAAATATTATTAAGGAGAGACAAAAGTACTTTTTACAGGTAGTTTTCAACTTCCCATGTATTTGTTACAATAAACCTTACTTGTGAATGTCTGTGTATGTGAATTTTTTAGTTAGTAATATGTACCATGTACAGTGTTGCAATGTTTAGCTTGCTGATGCTATCTTGTTCATAAATGCTTGCAGATCAAATTTACAAAGATAGTAATGTGAGACAGTAATAATGAAAACTTGGGGAAAAGAAAGATACTTGATTTTACATCAGAAATGACTTAAGACAGAGTTGTCTGGGTGGAGTCTTGTTGTGAGTCAGGGACTCCTTGTATTAGAAGAATTCTTCCTGTCAGTTTGCTTAAGCCCTATCTTTTTGATATAAATTACCTTTTTCCTTTCTATGCATCTTGGTAGTTGTCATTGTTCATTTAATCATATAAACATTTAATGCAAATCTACTCTGTACCGGAAGCTCTGCACAATGATAGTTCCCAAGTTGTGAAATGATCCAGTCATTGTCATTAATCCAGTAAAGGCTGTAAATCACATGGGAGGAGCTTACCCCTCTTTCTCCCATAAGAGCTCCTCATGGATTTGAACTGCTGGAAAGGCAGGCATCGCCTGTGGGTTAGCACCACAACTCCCTACAGACTACTCAAGTATAGTTAGATTAAGAATAACTTAACTTTCATTTCAGTAAAACTACAAAAATTGTGCTGACATTTATTGTTGTGGCTTATCAAAATTCCTTGTCCATTTTATAATTTTTTTAAAATTTTGTTTTATTCATTTTATAAATTTTTAATGTATTTTATTCTTTTTCTGTATATTGTTGTTGTTGTTATGTGCCGTCCAGTTGCTTGTGACTCATAGCGACCCTATGTACAACAGCTCTAAACCCTGCTCTATCCCTTGCCAATCTTATTATCTCTGACACGCCTATCCCCATAACCCCAGTGGTGGAATCAATCCCATCTCTAGGTCCTCCTCTCCTGCGCTGTCCCTCTACCCTCCCAAGCATGATATCCATCCCTCTCCAAGGACTGGTCCCGCCTTGCAACATGTCCAAAGTATTTCAGATGGAGCGTCAGAATCCTTTCCTCCAAGAAGCACCCTGGCTTCACTCTTCACACAGTTAAAGAAAAACCAAATCAAACTTCTTGCCATACAGTGACTTCTTGCCAACTCATAGTGAACCTATAGGACAAACATATCACTGACAAAGCTTTTATGCACTAAGGTAAGGCTAATTAAGTGCCATATATGCCTGTTCCAAGTTGCCTGCCAATTGAGCTCCAGGACACACTAAGAATGGGTCTCATTTGTGACCAGGAGTCTGCTTGCATAAGGATTTGGCTTAATATCCAGTTGACTGAAAAACATAATCTATGAATTTACCTCTTAATTCCTATTTTCTTTTTTTAAGAAGTAACACTAAATTTCTATTTTATTAGAAAGGAACCAGCATAAATTTGATGTTTATGTGGATGTATTACCCTTTTCCTCAACAGTGGTAAATTTTACTTTTTATTTATGTATGTATTTATTTTTTTTACAGTTTTATGACTTTATTTGACAATCAGCTATTAGTTTTCATCCACATTGACAGTCTGTAGATTTTTCAAAGTGGTGACAGGTACATAGGTAACCAGTGTATACAGCTTGTTTGGGGAATCTTCATCCTCATTACGTTTTCTGGACAACCGTACACGGATGCAGTATGGGACATTCCTTATTCCTTTTGCCCAGAGAGCTTTGTTAAGCCTGGTGTCAATGCGAACATCTGGTGTTCCATTCTCCTTCATGGCAAATTTCCGGATCTCCTTTAGTGGCTGAGGAGCATGCTTCTTAAATCCCCCTCCATGGATGCGTTTGTGAATGTTGATGGAGTACTTGCTGGTCACCACTTCGTTGATGGGAGAACAGCCTTTCTTCTTCTCACCATCCTTCTTTGCGGGGGCCATAGTGCCGGAACCAGGCTATTTATGTATTTATTTATTTAAATTATTTTGTGTGTGTGTGTGTACTGTCAACTCGGATCTTACTGGTACAGGAAGAGATTGTCCCTTCTTCTCCAGCAGAGCATCTGGTGGATTTGAATCACTCTCCTTTGGGATTGAAGTGCAGCTTCTTGCCACTTGGCCACCAGAGCTCGCCAAATTGGAACTTTTTAAAAAGTCAGTCTTGACAATTATTATTTACAATTATGTTAAAAATTTAAATCTTATGTTTAAATTTGGCCTTTTAAGTTATTCTTGATAGACTGATATGAATATTTTTATCTGCTGTTATAGTATTTAAAACAAACATTTAATAATTATAAACTTGACAAGAAAAATACCATTACAACTCCCTCACCCTCTCATTTTTGAAAATCTCTTAACTTTTGGGACTTTTTTCTTGTCAAGCTTTCACTGTATAATTACTGTGTTAGGATAGTGTTTCTTCACATATTTTCTCACTTAAAGAATTCAGTGAAGTTTTTTAGGTTTATGTTTAAAAATTAGATTCCTGTAACTTTGGTTGTAATATAGATGGTGTGTTCTGAAATATTTACTATAGTTATCAATTTATATGTCAGAAAAATGACTGTTTTTCTTACACATGTTCATAATCATAATAGCAATCTTTTTATAGGTATAAAATGTGCCACAGTTATTTAAATAATGAGCTGATGAGTGTAAGTTAAACATATATATGACCTTAGAAATGAAAAGGTTTTATTTGGGTAACTGTTATTCTCTATATCTACTTTCCCTTTTCTTTCCCTAGTTACCTTTCCTTTTCTTTCCATACTTACCTACCACTTGATTAAAATGTATCTCTTAATTTAGTGTATTTATTCAAATATAATTTCACACAGCACTTAGGATTTTAAAATTTTTTCCCTTGATGAAGGATTGGGGGTGGGTAGAAATGTGAAGAGAGGTGACTGACTGATCTTTAGGTGAGTTAACTACTACATAAAAACTAGTACAGGAAGCTGGAAAAGGAATAAAAACACAAATATTTTTCACTAAAATAAGCAGCAAATCTTATGAGGAAAAGAAACAAAAACAAACCCAG